TTGCCCCTAGCTCTTAATTTCATAGTATATACCTTTTCATAGACTATCCAATTTAGCACATATTTACAACTCGAGTAATTTGTAAATCTATCATTGTAAAATATGTGATTTCAAAAGACCCTTGACTCCAGAATGAAAAGATGGTAGCTGCTGGTGTAATTTGCTTATTGAAATAAAGCGGTGTTTTACTATACATATACTTCTTTACATGGTAAGATGACAAAATAAATTGACCAAAAGCAGGCAATAATTATATTGCAGTGGAAGCTTTACATTTCTTGAAAACCAAAGAGGGGGGGGGGTTTCAGGGGGTTGCAAAACTCCCTTTTTTGGACGATAAAAATGATTTTGAATGGGGACATATGGTTGGAACCCCCCTTTATCCTGGGTTGGAACCCCCTTTCAAAAATGGCTGGATCCGCCTTTGGTATGTCCAATAGATAGTCTAGCGGATAGTCATTAAAAAGCAACTACCAATAGATCAAAGATACTAGGGTTTATGTTTATTTTATTCATTTCAAAGTAAAAACTAAAAGATTTATCAGAAGATGTTATATATATATATAGGTGGCACATTCTCTTCAGACATTATCACGGTTTTTCAACTAGTGACATCGTCCTGAACATGCATGAAATATTTGCCACTGGACATTAAGCAACCAATAATCAATCAATCAATCAATTCATGACGAAATAGATCAAGTTGCCTTAATTTCCCTTCACAAGGTTTCATAGTACACACTTTTTGGTGTACAAAGTAATTGCATGGATGATAAATTATCACAATTTTAAGATGGCGTTGTAGTCTAATCAAGGTATAAAGAATCATATTTGTTACTCTTTATTTAAATGAAAGAAACTTGCAATCGTCAAAAACATTTTTTAGATCCAAAGATTTTAATAGCAGGATATTTAAAAATCAATGTGAAAACTAGTTACAAAACTATTTATTTAATTTGGAACACAGCATTTTATTTCAAAATAGCCAGTGGCAATTTTTATTTTGATATCTTGATTACGATACAATGAAATCTTACCATTGTGATCATTCATGCGTAGTTACTTAGCACGGGAAAAGTATGTACTATGAAAATTAGAAGGCAAATGCAAGCAATTTGATTGGACGAGAAGTTATAAGTATGTGCTAATAATGAATAGTTAAAACGAAAATAATCACGCAAATTACAACACAACAAATACAATGTAATACAGAAGAACAAAATAATAATATATCGTTAGGAATGAATTGAATACTTCTTTTGGATTACATCGTATGGATAGTATTAGCAATATATTATAGGCAAAGAACTACAAATAGAAAATTACAAAAATATAAATACATTTGTGGTATATTGTCATACCCATAGTATCAAGTATCGATAATTTTAACTCTTATTTTTATATCCGTAGACGTAGTATTATATTCACCATAACATATATATTTATTCTATTAAAATGTTATTATTGCTTTCAAATCAAGTAAAGTGTCCTTATCTTTACAATGCAAGAAAATGAACAGCAGAGCTGAAATATCTGACGATCGTTTTATCATTCAAGCAACAATAAAAATATGAAATTTTAGTTATATTCATTCCTGAATTACTTTGTTTCCAGTATTTCCATCAGAACAACGACTAACGTATTTCTTGTCCACAGCGTTCATAGCTAGATTCATAAATAGAATAAACAAAAGTTAACACATTCTTTGTAAACTGAAATTTCGTCTAGTATTAATATCAATACAGCATTAACAATATTGACACATTTTGACGACTTCAAACTAGAATCTAGGACAAAAGTGATGATTTAAACTTTCCATTTCTCTTTTCAATTGTATGGCGGTTACATATTTCAGTTGATACGTTAGGCCCGTGCATGTTCACATTAGACGGGCCTCATTAACCAGGTTGTGCCCTTTACATAAAATAAACTCCAGCAAATAGGAATGATTTAAATTTACACCATATAAGTTTTAAGATCGATATGTATTAACTTTATTAGGGTATCATGTCCTCGCTCACATGCAGCTGTCAGAAGTGTATGTCCCGTACCATTAGTCTGGTGTACACCACATCCTTTTTCTATAAGAAACTGTACTCTCTTTTCATTTACTCTCTCACAAGCAACTGTCAGAGTTGTATGCTCAAACCATCGGTCTAGTGAACATAACATCCTTTGTCTATAAGAAACAGTATTGTCAGAGGTCTCTGTCGAATACCATCCGGTTGGGTAACATTACATCTTTTGTCTATAAGTAGTTGTATGATCTTCTCGTTTCCTCCCTTACACGCATCTGTTAGAGGTTTCTCGCCAATACCATCAGTCTTGTAATTGTCACATCATGTACAATCTTCTCTCTCCCAAACAAACAAACAGCTACCAGAGGTGTCTGTCTCAAATGATTAGTCTGGTAAACATAACATTCTTTGTCTACTAGACATGGTACTACATTTTCATTTCCTCCTTGACAAGCAGCTGTCAGAGGTGTACATGTATGCCTCATACCATCAGTCTGATGAACTTCACATCCTTTGTCTATAAGTAATAGTACTATTTTCTCATTTCCACCATCGGAAGCAGCTAACAGAGATGTATGACTCAAACCATCAGCCTGGTGAACATTAAATCCTTCTCTATTAATAACCGTACAATAACCAGAGGCGTCCTTGCCATATGAATAGCCTTTTTACATTAAGTCGTCCTCTATAAGTAACTGTACTAATCTCTCATTTCTTCTCCTACAAGAGGGTGTCGGAAGTGTCTATTTCATACCATCAACCTGATATATATAACATCCCATACGTAACTGCAGCATCTTCTCATGTCCTTCTTCACAAGCTGCTGTTAAAGGTATTGTCATAAACCATCAATCTGGTTTACAATACATCCTTTGTCGATTAGTTACTGTATTTTTATGTCCTCCCACACAAGCAACTGACAGAGGTGTCTGTCCCTTACCACAAGTAAGGTTTACATTGCATCCTTTCTCTATAAGTAACTGCATTATATTCTCATGTCCTCTCTGACAAGCTGCGGTTAGAGGTGGCCGTCTCATACTATTAGTCTGGTGTACATTACATTCTTCTTCTATAAGTAACTGCACTATCTTCTCATGTCCTTCCTCACAAGCAGCTGTCAGAGGTGTCTGTCTCATACCACCAGCCTGGTTTACATTACATCGTTTGTCTATAACTAACTGCACTACCTTCTCATTTTCTCCCTCACAAGCAGCTGACAAAGGTATCTGTCCCATACCATCCGCCGGGTTTACATTACATCCTTTGTTTATAAGTAACTGCACTATCTTCTCATTTCCTCTCCTACAAGCAGCTGTCAGAGGTGTCTGTCTCATACCACCAACCTGGTTTACATTACATCCTTTGTCTTTAAGTAACTGCAATATCTTCTCATTCCTCTCTTTGTCTAAAGTAACTGAACTATCTTTTCATTTCTTCCCCACAAGCAGCTGCCAGAGGTGTCTGTCTCATACCACCAACCTGGTTTACATTACATCCTTTGTCTTTAAGTAACTGCAATATCTTCTCATTCCTCTCTTTGTCTAAAGTAACTGCATTATCTTCTCATTTCCTGCCTTACAAGCAGCTTTCAGGGGTGTGTGTCTCATACCATCAACCTGGTTTACATTACATCCTTTGTCTATCAGTAACTGCACTATCTTCTCATTTCCTCCCTCACAAGCAGCTGTCAGAAGTGTCTGTTCCATACCATCAGCCGGGTTTACATTACATCCTTTGTCTGTCTATCAGTAACTGCACTATCTTCTCATTTCCTCCCTCACAAGCAGCTGTCAGAGGTGTGTATCCCATACCATCAGCCGGGTTTACATTACATCCTTTGTTTATAAGTAACTGCACTATCTTCTCTTTTCCCCTCCTACAAGCAGCTGTCAGAGGTGTCTGTCTCTTACCATCAGCAGGGTTTACATTACATCCTTTGTCTATAAGCAACTGCACTATATTCATATTTTCTCTCCTACAAGCAGCTTTCAGAGGTGTCTGTCTCTTACCATCAACCTGGTTTATATTACATCCTTTGTCCAAAAGTAGCTGCACTATCTTCTCATTTCCTCCCTCACAAGCAATTGTCAAAGTTGTCTGTCTCATACCATCAGCCTGGTTTACATTACATCCTTTGTCTATAAGTAACTGTGCTATATTCTCATTTCTTCGCTCACAAGCAACTGTCAAAGGTGTCTGTCCAAAACCATCAGCCTGGTTTACATTACATCCTTTGTCTATCAGTAACTGTGCTATCTTATCATTTCCTATCCTAAAAGCAGCTAGCAGAGGTGTCTGTCTCATACCATCAGCCTGGTTTACATTACATCCTTTGTCTATAAGTAACTGCACTTTATTCTCATTTCTTCGCTCACAAGCAGCTGTCAGGGGTGTCTGTTCCATACCATTAGCCTGGTTTACATTACATCCTTTTTCTATAAGTAACTGCACTATATTCTCATTTCCTCTCCAACAAGCAGCTGTTAAAGGTCTCCGTCCCATACCATCAGCCTGGTTTACATTACATCCTTTGTCTATAAGTAACTGCACTATATTCTCATTTCTTTGCTCACAAGCAACTGTCAAAGGTGTCGGTCCCAATCCATCAGCCTGGTTTACATTACATCCTTTGTCTATAAGTAACTGTGCTATCTTCTCATTTCCGCTCTGACAAGCAGCTGTCAGAGGTGTCTGTTCAATACCATCAGCCGGGTTTACATTACATCCTTTGTCTATAAGTAACTGCACTATCTTCTCATTTTCTCTCCTACAAGCAGCTGTTAGAAGTGTCTGTCTCATACCATCAGCCGAGTTTACATTACATTCTTTGTCTATAAGTAACTGCACTTTATTCTCATTTCCTCTCCTACAAGCAGCTGTTAGAGGTGTCTGTTCCATACCATCAGCCGGGTTTACATTACATCCTTTGTCTATCAGTAACTGCACTATCTTCTCATTTCCTCCCAAATAAGCAGCTGTCAGAGGTGTCTGTCCCATACCATCAGCCGGGTTTACATTACATCCTTTGTCTATAAGTAACTGCACTATATTCTCATTTCCTCCCCAACAAGCAGCTGTCAGTGGTGTCTGTCCTATACCATCAGCCGGGTTTACATTACATCCTTTGTCTATAAGTAACTGCACTATATTCTCATTTCCTCCCCAACAAGCAGCTGTCAGAGGTGTCTGTCTCATACCATCAGCCTGGTTTACATTACATCCTTTGTCTATAAGTAACTGCACTATCTTCTCATTTCGTTCTTCACAAGCAACTGTTAGAGGTGTCTGTCGCATACCATCAGCCTGGTTTACATAACATCCTTTGTCTATAAGTAACTGTGCTATCTTCTCATTTCCTCCCTCACAAGCAGCTGTCAAAGGTGTCCTTTCCATCCATCAGCCGGGTTTACATTACATCCTTTGTCTATAAGTAACTGCACTATCTTCTCATTTCCGCTCTTATAAGCAGTTGTCAGAGGTGTCTGTCCCATACCATCAACCTGGTTTACATTACATCCTTTGTCTATAAGTAACTGCACTATATTCTCATTTCCTCTTCTACAAGCAGCTGTTAGAGGTGTCTGTCTCATACCATCAGCCAGGTTTACATTACATCCTTTGTCTATAAGTAACTGCACTATCTTCTCATTTCCACTCTTACAAGCAGCTGTCAGAGGTGTCTGTCCCATACCATCAACCTGGTTTACATCACATCCTTTGTCTATCAGTAACTGCACTATCTTCTCATTTCCTCCCAAACAAGCAGCTGTCAGAGGTGTCTGTCCCATACCATCAACCTGGTTTATATTACATCCTTTGTCCAAAAGTAGCTGCACTATCTTCTCATTTCCTCCCTCACAAGCAATTGTCAAAGGTGTCTGTCTCATACCATCAGCCTGGTTTACATTAAATCCTTTGTCTATAAGTAACTGTGCTATATTCTCATTTCTTCGCTCACAAGCAACTGTCAAAGGTGTCTGTCCAAAACCATCAGCCTGGTTTACATTACATCCTTTGTCTATCAGTAACTGTGCTATCTTATCATTTCCTATCCTACAAGCAGCTAGCAGAGGTGTCTGTTCCATACCATCAGCCGTGTTTACATTACATCCTTTGTCTATAAGTAACTGCACTATATTCTCATTTCCTCCCCAACAAGCAGCTGTCACTGGTGTCTGTCCCATACCATCAGCCTGGTTTACATTACATCCTTTGTCTATCAGTAACTGCACTATCTTCTCATTTCCGCTCTTACAAGCAGCTGTCAGAGGTGTCTCTTCCATACCATCAGCCGGGTTTACATTACATCCTTTGTCTATCAGTAACTGCACTATCTTCTCATTTCCTCCCAAACAAGCAGCTGTCAGAGGTGTCTGTCCCATACCATCAGCCGGGTTTACATTACATCCTTTGTCTATAAGTAACTGCACTATATACTCATTTCCTCCCCAACAAGCAGCTGTCAGTGGTGTCTCTTCCATACCATAAGCCTGGTTTACATTACATCCTTTGTCTATAAGTAACTGCACTATCTTCTCATTTCCGCTCTTACAAGCAGCTGTCAGAGATGTCTGTCCCATACCATCAACCTGGTTTACATTACATCCTTTGTCTATAAGTAACTGCACTATATTCTCATTTCCTTCCCAACAAGCAGCTGTCAGTGGTGTCTTTCCCATACCATCAGCCTGGTTTACATTACATCCTTTGTCTATAAGTAACTGCACTATCTTCTCATTTCCTCTCTTACAAGCAGCTGTCAGAGGTGTCTGTTTCATACCATCAGCCGGGTTTACATTACATCCTTTGTCTATAAGTAACTGCACAATCTTCTCATTTCCTCCCAAACAAGCAGCTGTCAGAGGTGACTGTCCCATACCATCAGCCGGGTTTACATTACATCCTTTGTCTATAAGTAACTGCACTATATTCTCATTTCCTCCCCAACAAGTAGCTGTCAGTGGTGTCTGTCCCATACCATCAGCCTGGTTTACATTACATTCTTTGTCTATAAGTAACTGCACTATCTTCTCATTTCCTCCCAAACAAACAGCTGTCAGAGGTGTCTGTCCCATACCATCAGCCAGGTTTACATTACATCCTTTGTCTATAAGTAACTGCACTATATTCTCATTTCCTCCCCAACAAGCAGCTGTCAGTGGTGTCTGTCCCATACCATCAGCCTGGTGTACATTACATCCTTTGTCTATAAGTAACTGTGCTATCTTCTCATTTCCTCCCTCACAAGCAGCTGTCAAAGGTGTCCTTTCCATTCCATCAGCCGGGTTTACATTACATCCTTTGTCTATAAGTAACTGCACTATCTTCTCATCTCCGCTCTGACAAGCAGCTGTTAGAGGTGTCTGTTTCATACCATCAGCCTGGTTTACATTACATCCTTTGTCTATAAGTAACTGCACTATCTTCTCATCTCCGCTCTGACAAGCAGCTGTCAGAGATGTCTGTCCCATACCATCAACCTGGTTTACATTACATCCTTTGTCTATAAGTAACTGCACTATATTCTCATTTCCTCTTATACAAGCAGCTGTTAGAGTTGTCTGTCTCATACTATCAGCCTGGTTTACATTACATCCTTTGTCTATAAGTAACTGCACTATATTTGTATGTCCTCCCCGACAAGCAACTATCAGAGGTGTTTCTAAAAAATGACTGTTCTCTAAATCAACATATTTTGAAATAAGAAATTGGACTAAATCATAATATCCTCGAAAGCATGCTGTTATAAAAAATTTTGAAAAACCTTTATTGTATTTTTCTAAAAGGGGTCCCTGATTTATTTGTTTAAAAAGAAACTTTTCGTCTATTGACTCTAATACTTTGATTAAAGAAGCTCTATAATTGTCATGCTTCATCTGTGGATTCCGAGAACATTCTGTGATTTTTCCTAGTTTAACTTCATTTTTTATTCTCTCAAAGTATTCCTGTTCATATTTGTTTGATATCATTATAGTAAATTTACCATGTTTTTCATTAATCGATTCTAGCCGTGTACGTTCATTTAAAACTTGAATGCATGCATCACGCAATATACATCTGACCATTGTATCATTGTTACCGAAATAACCACACATAAAATCCAACATTTGGTCATGTATTACCCTATACTTGTTTCTTATTTTCCGTACGTAAGTTCCAATAATGCTGTCAAAGACTGCCTTTATTTTACATCTTGGTGCACCACGGTTTAATCCACAGATTTCAAAAATGGTTTCCCAGTCAAAGTTTTTGCTGCTAATATTTTCACTATAGATATCAAATAATGACTCCGTAATAATGCCATTGTGAAGAACACAAACAAAGAGTGCGCAATATTTATATGGATCAATTGATCTTAACTTTTTCCATTCATTTTGGTATGTTTCGTAAGGACAGTGTAAAAAATCTGTCAAATTGAAATTTTCATTTTTAGAATAAAGATAACACATAAAAGGTGTAAACACCTCATTTTCATCTTTTAACAGCTGAATATTAGTTTCGGTTAAATACTTGGCACATATCGTTAGTTTGTTCTCTTTTGAATATTCTTCAGACAAATTAAAGATATTCGATGTGAAAACAGTACATGATGCATGGAAATTTTCGTCACTGTAAATATCTAACCGGCATGTTGCTGCTATTTTTATCTTCCCCTTTTCGAGCATCCTTTTTAAAGTTTCTCCTTTTTTTTGCAAATATTCAATCTCACCAAAACTAGCTGTAAATCGTCCACAAATATCATCAAGAATAAACATCTGCTTTATGTCCTCTTTATAATGATGAATTATATCCTTAATTGCTGCACATGGAATTATGTTGTAATTCGTCGTTGAATGTAGTTTTAAAGCGATATGATGCATCAACATACTCTTACCAATACCAGGTTCACCTACTACCAATACACTATGTTCTGATTCAAGGATCTTTGAAATATCTTCTACAACAGGAGTTTCAACGAACATAACGTCTTGCTCTTTCCATAACTCCATCTCGACATTGTGCGAATCTACAAATAGCAAAAGTCATTTTCACTACTATTTTGAATCGATTTTGAGCGCATTGATAAACAAATATTTTGTTCTAATATCATATGTTTATATATAAGAAACCTTCATATATATATATATATATATATTCTACTCGTGATATATATATATATATACGTTTTATTACCCTCAGAAAACAGGCTCGGACAATAAACCCATTCATATGACCTTGCACATTGTGTCTTATTATGATACAAAATGTATGATATACATAAACGGCTTGGAATCCTATAAAAACTTATCAAAAATACCAGGTATATCATTGTTACACAAGACGTATGTTTTGTCTATATAAGGTCCATCAGTGATGCTTGAATTAAAACCGTTGGAAGGAAAAATCAAAAACAAAATTGAAGAGCATCATACATATTAAATTTCCAAAAGGTATGCCAGATAAAGCTAAGGCAATCTATACCTGGGAGTTTAAAATTAATGATTCAAAATATTTACAGAACAAATTACCTATCAATGATATTTCATGACTACTTGGCTGTTGTTACTAGGGGACGAAATGTCCACCAGCAGTGACATCGACCCAGTGGTTGTAAAAACTCATTTAAGACAGTAAGTTAATAATTTGGTACGCCAGACGCTCGTTTCGTCTAAATAAGTATAAACAAGAAGATGCGGTATGAGTGCCATTGGGACAACTCTCCATCCAAGTCACAATGTATAAAAGGTAAACAATTATATGTCAAAGTACGGCTTTCAACAATGAGCTTTGGCTCACAACGAAGAGCAAGCTATAAAGGGCCCTAAAATGACTAGTGTAAAACAATTCAAACAGGAAAACCAGCGGTCTAATCTATATAAAAAACGAGAAAAAAAAAACACTTATTAACCACACCAGCAAACGACAACCACTGAACAACATGCTCCTTACTTAGGTCACGTGTATACAAATGCATCGAGTTTAAATGTTTTAACAGGCGCCAACCTTCACCCTAACCTAAAACAGTAGTGTAAAATTACAACATGAAAAGATTCAATATATATATATATATATATAATTAAGATATCAATTGACCAAAAAGACATATAACCAAAAAGAAGTAAACATACACTGACCAAACAAGTTCGATCTATGACACAATATACATACAATATTAATAAAAAAAAGTATTAGGAATAGTATCAAAAAGACAACTCTAACCTGGGACAAAATGGCGTTAAATGAAATAACGTGCACAGGTAAATTTAAATATAATAATTTAGTTGTTAGTACGGAAACATTTTTTACAAAATAAATAATAAATTTGTTGTTCACAGTACGAGTACAAAAGTGAAAACTTATCTTCATGTAACTAAATACTTATCAGAGGTTGTACATATTAAAAAATATTTAGACGAGATATAACACAAAATACGTAATCATTGAATAACATAAATGCAGTACAAATTGTGTCAACAGGTCAAATTAACATGAAAACACGTTTTGAAAGTACTCGCAGTTACTGATAGCTAGTTTAAAGCCAAAAATAATTACTAATAATAAAAAAATCATGCATCAGAGGCTAAAATCAATTAAAACACATCCCAGGGATTTAGTGTTTTAATGCCATGGACAGTCAAAGAAGACATGACTTGTGCAATGCCAAAATAAAAGTATCGACAGGCAGTAGGATAGTTAGGATTTAACCTTATCATAAATATGTATTTCATGTATAGATAAAGCAATCTCTAAATTGAAAATAGACGTGGATGTGTATTTATACATCCCAAAAACCATTCGAAAAGAATACAAATTGAGTTATGTTTTAATTTGTTGATTTCAAAATCGATGTTAGTGCCAATGTAAACAATTTTCAAAGATCTTATTACAACATTAATAAGATAACAATTGCTAATAAGTTTGTTTAAAGGTTCGATGAGTTTACACGGATCACATAGGGATTTCAGTGCTTTTTGTACAATATTAACGTAAAATTTAGGATGTGAAATACCGTTTTTAATAAGTTTCCTACAGGAACAGCCAAATTTACTAATCAAATCTGTGTATCTATGAAAGAATTAAGTAAATGTTTTAAGTAATTCATGGTAACGAAATCCCTGACTTAATAATTTACCAGTGATTCATTGATTTCGTTCATTAAAATCTATGACATCACTACACACACGGGCATAACAAACGTGCTGGGATATATAACCACCGTATGATGGAGCCAAAGGAACATCACCGTCTTAAAAAGGAAAATTAACAGTAGGGAATGAAATATCGTCTCTTTTGTCGTACATTTAAGTATGGAGTTTCTCTTTAGAAATTAAAATATCTAAATCTAGAAAAGGACAATTACTGCTATTTATGTTAGATTTAATTAAAGTAAGTTCCTTTTGGTAAAGGAGTAGGCCCGGTAAGAGCCCTTTTTGGCCCCAAAATATAGCATTTCAAAAATTTGTTAAATATATAAACTGTTAGTTATCTATTGGAAAGAAAAATACTTTTGTTACATAAATATGGGCTGTTTTTGACAATACAATGCACATGCATCAGATACTAGCATCATTAATTCAGGCAAAATTACTGAAATCTTCACAATTTTTGCATTTGTGCTTATTTTTAGACAATTTTTGTCTAAAATGAAAGTGGCCGCACTTGTGTTCAGTCTTGATATTTAAATATATGTTGTATTTGATGATGATAAATCAAATACATATATAATGGTTGAGACTGAACACGAATGCGGCCACTTCTATTTTAGACAAAAACCATCTGAAAAGTGACGTTTTGTGGCATATTTGATTGATTTTTTTTATATTTAAGCTTGAATTTAGGCGTCTTTAATGACCAAATCAGTTCAAATCTTTTACATTAACTAATTGAATCGACTGAAGTAGACACTTGAGTGTTTAAAAAATGTCAAAAATCTTTCATCAAATGTACTTCGAATTTTAGGCCGAAATCAGCCCTTACCGGACTTTCTCCTTTCGGTGGTTAATTTAGAGTGAATTTAATGAAAAAATATCATAAAGATAACGGTAGGTATTTGTGTCAACCAAATGTACCAATGATGCGTCTTTACTGAGTTTGGCCATAAACTGTGATTCATAGCAATACAGGAATACATCTGATATTAAAGGGGTGAAATAAGTACCTATAGGAAAACCTACTACCTTGTCACCATCTTACGGTGTTTATATATCTCAACTTGTACGATTCGCTCGTGTATGTAACAATGTTTTAGATTTTAACGAGAGAAATTTATGTATTACTGAAAAATTATTACACCAGGGTTTTCGATATCACAAACTAGGCAAAACATTTACTAAATTTTATCATCGGTATAAGGACATCATTCGTAAATATAGCTCAACATGCAGACTTCTTATACGTTCAGGTATTTCACATCCAATTTTTTATGGAAATATTCTTTATAAAGCACAAAAATGTCAGTATTCACCTCTGAAGCTAACAAAACCTTTAAATAGACTTATTAAGAAGGGATATAGTTACGATACTGTTGTCAGGTCATTAAAGATTGCATATTTTGGCGTTAATATTGATTCACTTATAGGGTCTTTGCATC